CAGGGTCACATGACTTCGTTCTGAAACAAACATTTGGATGAATCTGAAATCTGAATAACAAACCGAATCGAATTTCTGAAATCCGAAAAATGAAAGAAATAAAAGTCTGAATTGATCGGAAAGGAAACAAAATTTACATGTCTAATGCACCATTTTTGGTGTGTTGGCAGCCCGTTCATCGTGAACCTGGTGCTTTAAAACAACGCGTGCTGACGCACGGCATAATGTGCATGCATTAATGCACCGCGATGGTGTGAATGGGCCTAAGGCCGGGCTAACATCAGTGTGACGTCACCACGCGCATGTGCAATGACGTCATCGCGCATGCGCAACCACCTGATTGATGCCTGCCGGCGGCCATCTTGGGATGAGGTATGCCGCCGGGTCCCCTTCTCTCTCCTGACACTGTCCGGCTCTCGATCCATGACCGGGTGCCCAACTTTTTAGAGAGGGGTGACACCAAAATGACTGCCAGTCATTTTGGTGTCACCCCTGCAATGGTGATACCCGGGTGTGGGCCGCACCCCCCTTGTGACGCCACTGAATGGGCCTTTACAGAGGTGGGATATTGGTGATAAAGGAAAATATAGGCGCTGGGTGAATGCAATAATGAATAGTTTTCGGTGTGATATGATTATCCTGTGTGAATGATCATTTTTTTTCTCAGCGTTAAATCTTTCACCGAAAACAACTGCGCCAAAGTTGCTGCGGTCAATCACGACTGCCGAGAGAAACGCCAAGAGAAGATTTTCCTATCGGTGGCGTTTATTTTTGATACATGTTTATAAAAATAAAAAAGTAATCATGTAAACATTCCGCATTCTCTACAGGAAGTGATGGAATTTTCAATGCTATTACAGAGTAAACAAATGAATACAAATAAACGACGACGGATCATCCCATTTCCCGGCCCCTTGCCTGCGCTACACTTGGGTGCTGCCGTCGTCTGAGTGCATGCCCCGGCTTGTCTTCTGGGATTGTATCTCCTTTTCCTCAGAATGACGTCACACTCAGGATATTAAGAGGTTAATGTCCCACTTCCCAGAAGTGACACCGCAGCAGCCCATCCTCAGGCAGCCTGCCATTGGAGGAGCCAATCACATGACCTCTGGGCTGTTGAAATGCCGTGTAACAATAAGGGAGCGTCTGTAAAGCTTGCCAAGAAAGTGCAAGGGTAAGGCCAAGGGGCGAGAGTACGTTAGGGTGCAAAGGTTGATGGCTCTTTTAAGACGTGCCCTATATTTCAATGTGACTTCCTCTGTTTATAGGTTACACTGTAGCCATGCCATCCACCTGCAATCCAAATATGGAATCCTGTTTGTTTAACCACTTCAAGACCAGGTGTTTAGACCCCCTTCCTGTCCCGGCCATTTTTCAGTATTCAGCGCTGCGGTACTTTGACTGACGTTTATTCCGCCATGCAGCGCTGTACTGAAATGAATTTTATACCATTTTTTGGGGTGGGGGGGGCGCGGATGGGGGGGACGGGACCGATCGGCACCCCATACACGCGATCCGCCGGCTCTACAGCCGGCGGATTGCTTGTATGGTGACAGGCATCGCTGCCTGTTTTTAAATTTCGGCCAATTCCCGCTTGCGCGCGCGGGGGGGCGTGTCTGAGCGGACGTCTAAAGACGCCCGCTCAGATCTAGAGAGCTCGGTCCGGCCGTTTTTTTACTACGGCCGGCCCGGAGGTGTTTAAACCCGGGATGCACACAAAGGAGCTTGACTTATTTATTTATCAATATGATCTAAAGCTTGCCAACACAATACAATTTCACTATGTGATCTTCTTTATATGTACCAACAACTGTCTAGTGGGAGGGTCAGTCTGATTGGGAAGAAATTGAATAGATTGTGTACATATTTAGGCTCTTAGGGTGTCCCGGGGTAACATGTCTCATTCATTGTATCTGTTAGACATGTAACCCCGCCAAAATGTTGTTTCATTTTGGATCTATTCAGATTTTAATTTCTTTCGTTATTGAGATTTGGGATCCGAAATTCGGTTCGTTATTCGGATTTCGGATCCGCCCAAATTTTTATTCCGGAACGATCCACAACAGGAAGTTACATGACGGTGCATGTAATGCAACCCCTACAGAGTCAGATTTCCCACAAGTCCAACCAAGGCCCGGGGGAACAGCAGAGACTAAAACTGCCAACAGCCCCAAAAAAATCTGATTGGCCAGAGAACAGTCACATGTCCGATTTAGTTTAGTTCTGAACAAAATTCAGACAGATTTGTGTTTACCTTAAACGACCAATCGGATTCATTTGAATTAGGAAATATCGGATGCATCAGAATGTCCAACTTTAACAAAATTTATACGATTAACTAAAGGAAATTGACATACAGCAGAGTAGAGTTGTCACCCTATGAGAGGACTACGAAGCACCCCCCCCAATCAGTGATGAGCCTGGGCTTGGTGTGGACCCAGTTCGCACAAGCCCGCTCAAAACGGCGACCACTAACCCCTCTTCCCGACTCAATCAATGGCAGCAGTAGTTGTGGCGGAGGCATTTCCAACCCCTTTGTGACGCATAACCGTGGGGCTGGAAATGCGCCGGCTGCAACTGATCGAGCTGGAGGGGGGGAGGGGGGCTTGTCAATCATGGTTTTAAGTGGGCTTAGGAGAACTAGGAATTCCCCACCCCTTTGTGACGTATAGCTGTGGGCGGGGAATGCACCGGCAACAACTGGTTGGGCTGGGGGGGGGGTGTTCACCAAACCCAGACTCATCACTACTCTCCATAACATGGGGGGGAAGGTGTTCTATAGTCCTCATAGATAGCTGGTTGAGGGTTAATTCACATTAAAGTGCGTTGTTTTAAGGCAGACCTTTATTATGAATGGGCTACCAATGCATGACAAGGTACACAGCGTTTTTTTCTAATTGCACAGTATGTGCAGGGCCACATTAAGAGCATCATGGTCCTGGTGCTGTTGGTTGGTCGGACGGTAAGCAGCAGAGGCGACTCTCTGAGAGTGCCCACACACCTTACGATAATCGCGGGAAATCCCACGATCGTACGATTATCGTAAGGTGTGTGGAAGCCGTGTGACCTCTACTACTGTAAGGGTGCACGACTTTTAACTTACGAACATGTTCGAAAACCCGCCGATAATCGGCGGGTGTGTAGCATGTTCGTAAGATAAAAGCCGGACGGGCCGGTGCGCGCAAGTGCACACTGCCCGTTCGGCATTGCGGTCATCGGAAGCCCGCCCCTCAGGGGGGTGGGCTTGCGATCATCGCAAGTACGATCTGCCTGTCCAAGATAGGCAGATCGTACGTTTTTTTAATTAGCTTACAACCATCGCAAGACAAAAGTCTTGCGATGGTTGTAAGGTGTGTGCCCAGCCTTATATGCCAGATTAGAGGGCCGCCGGTGCCTCTGCCTGATTCTGTTCAGCCCAGCCGGTCCAGATTGCCATTGAAGCAATCTGTGCCAGCCGGGCCTATTTGCAGTGGTGAGGGCGCTCCAGTAGGTCTTTTGTTAATCTGGCCATAAGTATTTATGCATGTTGGTGTGCTGCAGTGTGTTATGCTCTACTCAGTGGCGTAACAATAACCATAGCGACCCAGGCGGCCGCTAGGGGGCCCGGGCCCAGGGGGGCCTGGCTAGGACACCCCCCTGATGCCGTGCGGGCCGCCTGGGTCGCTATGGGTTCAAACGCGCCGTTGTTCAGATCACCGTGATCTGTGCAGCGCTGCGTTCTTCTCCATTGCCGCTGCTGAGTCAATGAGAGTCAGCAGCGGTGGTGGAGGAGGCTGGACGTGGCGTGCAGGTGGGCTCTTCAAGGGGTGTAACTAGAAATCACAGGGCCCCATACAGAATTTTGCTATGGGGCCCTGTGATTTCTAGTTACGCCCCTGGCTCTACTGTACAATGCGTTGGGGTGTCATTCACAATGACTAGCACTGCAGTGCACCTCATAGGACAGGTGCATTGCCATGCTTTATGGCAACACTCGCAGGTGCATGTGGTTCATCATGTGTTGCCACAAGGCATACGTGTGAACGGGCCCATAGGGTCTATACACAGGCTCTGGAAAGGAGCCGTCTCTTCATGGAAGGGGCTGCCAGGGGTATCAGTGTACAGGAATAGACCTGCAGCATCAATGGCATCCCAGACACTGCAAGCAACGCGGCTTCAAACATACCGCAGCAACACGCAACATGGCGGCTGAGTTTTATTTTTTCCTGCGACGTGACATGACGGTAATGTGTCCCAGGAATGGTATAAAAAAAGGTTTTCTTCTATAAAAAGCAGACGCAGTTCTCCTAATAGAATAATAGACGTCACGTGTCACTTGCAGAGCATAGCTGGACCGAGTCGCTTTGCAGGCGTTATTCTCCTTCTCAGGGACGCGGC